GCTCGGCCAGGGATCTCTCACCCTGACAGCCCCCCGGGGTCACTGGGCCTGCCTCACCATGGGGGGCCCATCCCCGAGTCCGGACCCCCACTGCCCCATAACCCCCAGCCAGGCCCACATCCCCCTGTCGCTGCGGTACCCCTCTCTTCCCTACTGACCTGGCCCCGCCTCCATCCTCCCCCAGGGTTCTTGACTTCCATGCCCCTTTACAGTGCCCCCTCCCCCGTCCCCTAGCCCTGCCCCCTGCTCACCCGGCCCAGGTACTTCCAGTCCAGCAGGTCGGAGAGGCGCTCAGTCCGGTTGCGCTGGATGATGCGCTGCCGCCGGCTCTGCTGCCAGCAGCTGTACAGGAAGGACGTCAGCTGGGTGCAGGAGTCGTCCAGCGCCCGGAACCGCCGGTCCAAGATGTAGATCCCTGTGGGGCAGAGGAGGAGGAGAAATAATGGTAACTCTACAACCAAAGAGACTATAAAACAAGTGGGAGCAACAGAAAGGTGACACTTCTCAAAAAGGAGGGATTGTAGAAAATTGATAAGGGAAGCGAAAGGACACGAAGCGAAATCTAGAGCCAGCAGAGTGAAGGATAATGAGGGTTTGCTGTGGGGTTTTTTAAAGCATTCTTAGGAAGAAAATCAGCCCTAGCAATGGACTTGGTCCATTACCAGATGCAAATGGCAGACCTGTCGATAGCAATGCAAAAAAGATCGACGATGGCGAGTTGGGGGTTCCCCAGATCCTGCAGCCCCGTACAGACTCCACCAGCCAGTAGAACAGAGGGAGTTTATTGTACCTTCAGGGTACAGCACAGCACAGACGGAATCTCCTTACAGGAATTAGGGCTAGGATCCCTCAGGCCCCCTTGAGATGGGGGTGACTGGGCCCCTACAACCCCAGCCTCCTCCTCAGTCTCTCTCCTTCATGGCTCCAGCTTAGCCTGTGCTCTCCCTGCTTCCCAGGCAGCAACTGCCTCCCCCCAAGGCCCTGCCCCTCAGCCAGGTGTTGGTCTCTGCCTTCCTCCCTTTGTCTCTCTCCCTGGGAGACTGAGCCTGGGTGTGTGTGTGGGGGGGGGTTAATACACATGTGGGTGAATCAGTGGGAATCCCATCCCAGCGCAGGGGGACCCCGGGTTACAGAGCAGACAGCCCCCCACTACGTCACAAGCATTCAGTATGGGACTGGGGAAAAAGGGAGCCCATCCAATTCAGGGTGCATATTTGCAGGCAGAATTCCTAGTGCCAGGTAGCTGACAGGGACCTGCCACGGAGTGGGGGGAGTTCAGGGGCCAGGAGAAGAGGCCAAGCATTCAGTATGGGACTGGGGAAAAAGGGAGCCCATCCAATTCAGGGTGCATATTTGCAGGCAGAATTCCTAGTGCCAGGTAGCTGACAGGGACCTGCCACGGAGTGGGGGGAGTTCAGGGGCCAGGAGAAGAGGC